GACTAAGAAAACCACTTTGCCTTCTTGTATCAGCTTATACACACAAGGCTCATCCAATGACTGAACAAAACCATAAGTTTTAACAGTCTCATCGAATCTGATATTCCATGATCTGGATGCCTGCTTTAGTCCATAAATGGATTTTTGCAATTCACAAACCTTTTCTTCTTAACCCTTTTCAATGAATCCATCTGGTTGTGCCATATAAATGCGCTCATCCAGGTTGCCATTCAGAAAAGTTGTCTTCACATCCATCTGCCAGATTTCATAATCTAAGGCAGCAACAATGGATAAAAGAATGCGGATGGATTTAAGCATAGCCACCGGAGAGAAGGTATCCTCATAGTCAATTCCTTCTTTCTGGGTGTAGCCCTTGGCTACTAGTCTTGCTTTGAATGTCTCTACATTCCCATCTGGACCCCTCTTCTTCTTGTAGAACCATTTACACCCTACGGGTTTTATCCCTTCAGGATGATCTACCAGAGTCCATACGCCATTTTTATACATCGATTGTATTTCGGCATTCATGGCTTCATGCCATAGGTTTGCTTCAGAACTGGCCATAGCCTGCGAGTAGGAGACAGGTTCATCAACATCTAAATCTGAGACTGCAGTCAATGCATCTCCATAAGACATATACCTATCTGGTTGTCTCACAACCCTCCCACTACGTCGAGGCTCTATTGGTGTTAGTTCTTGTTGTGGTTCAGTCAATTCCTCAAGTACAAGCCTGCTTCTAGGCTTCATATTCTTCACAAAATCCTCTTCCAGAAAATGAGCATTCGTGCTAACGAATGTTTTCTGATCGGTAGGACTATAGAAGATGTAGCCTTTTGTCCCTTTAGGATATCCTACAAACAGGCATAATTCTGAACGATTGGTTAGCTTGCCAGTCTTCTTTCTAAGCACATGTACTAGACAACCCCATATTCTTGTGTGGCCAAGAGATGACTTCTTGCCACTCCATCTTTCATATGGAGTTCCAGGCACTGCTTTAGATGGAACTTGGTTCAGAATATATGCTGTTGTTTCCAAAGCATATCCCCAAAAGGAATCTGGAAGGGATGAGTAACTCATCATTGATCTAACCATATCTAATAGAGTTCGGTTCCTTCTTTCTGACACGCCATTCTGCTGTGGAGTACCTGGCGCAGTCAGTTGAGAAAATATGCCTTCTTCCTTAAGAAAGTCTTCGAACTCTCCTAGCAAGTATTCACCACCACGATCAGATCGTAGTGTTTTGATCTATTTGTCTAATTGTTTTTCAACCAAGGCCTTGAATTCTTTGAACTTTTCAAAGGTTTCAGACTTTTGACGCATTAGATAAATATGACCAAAACGAGAATAGTCATCTGTGAAGGATATGAAATATTCATATCCTCCTCTTGCTTGGATATTAAATGGCCCACATACATCACTATGTATGAGTTCTAGGCATTCATCAGCTCTATTACCCTTTGCTGAAAAGGGTCTCTTGGCCATTTTTCTTTCTATGCAGGATTCACATGTAGGTAGTGAGCCTACACTTAAGGTTTGTAAGGGACCGTCTCTTACCAACCTTTTGATCCTGTCAAGGCTAATATGTCCAAGACGTAGATGCCATTTATAGGTTTGATCTGTTGGGTCTAACCTCAATCTTTTACTATCTCTAATTGAATCATTATTCAATTCAGTATCATAAATCGTTGGAATAATTGGTTTGACGTAGAACAGATTGTTTATCATGACTGTAGAAGTAATCATGAAACCATTCTTAAGAATTTGAATAACATCATAGGGTGTATAATAGGGTGTATATAGGTTGAGTTGGGTTGATTTTAAGATTTTTTTTTAACCCAACTTGTAAGTTTCGGTTTGAAGAAAATACAACCCAATATTATTAGAGAAATACACTAACTCGTGCATTATTAAATGAGCATTTATAAAATAAATTATACTATTATAAGCTAAAAAAATGAGCATTTTCCATTATGCTTTCGATATATCAAATATATTATACATTTTTATTTTAAATATATATAAACTTCGGGTTGGGTTGAAATATTCTCAACCCAAAACCCAACCCATAGCTTCGATTTGAAGTATTTATATGTCATAATATATATTTTTCTTTGTCGGTTTGTCATTTTCAAGTTGGGTTAGGCGGGTTGATGTACACCGCTAGTGTATAGTATTGATTGTTGAGTAATCAATTAACTTCAAATAATTATTTTTATTTTTAAAATATTATTATTTAATTTTCTTTGTGATACGTATACCTTATTAAGTTGCTACTTTTTCTGAATTTAAAATGTTTATACATTGGTGTTTATTATCATCGTCTTGATAAACTAGAAGAGTTAATCTCATAAATAGTCTTTGAGATTTAACTTTAATCCTATTTCAGTTTTTAAAATGTCGCATAATTAGTCTTTGAGGTTTTATTTTGTTTTAATTTGGGTCCTTCTGTTAATTTGGTATTAAATATTTGACGGAAGCCGAATGAATCATCACCTTTCTCAAGGGAGTTTCCCACTTGGTGGCTGAGATCTCTTCACTGCATGTCTTCTTCAATGGTTCTTTGGTCGGATAACCTTCACCGGAGGTTTCTACCGGCAGTGGTCGGAGGTTTTCGTATTTTTGTAACTTTTGTGTTTGTAATAAGGTTGGTGGTTTCCCCACTTGACCCTCATCTGGTTTGTTGGTTATTCTTAAATTTAGGTGTTCGGCTTAATGCCGATTAGGTGATCTTAGTCCGGTTAAATTTTTTACTATGCCGTGTAGATGTCCCCTTTCTGTGGATTTTGACGATATGCTCATCCGGCGCTCGACAGCTTATGTTGAAGAGAGGAGTTTTCTCCAGTCGAGCTTTCAGTCCGCTCGTTGTTAGTGTGCTAAGGTGCTTTCCCAGTTTCGAGCCTCAGGCATGCGTTTGTCCCTCTAATGGGTTAGTATTGTACCAAGATGACTGTTTATTAGTATTTTAATGAAATGCAATTTTTCCTTTTAAAAAAAATTAAGTAGAATAATTGTGGTTGTTTTAACTCAACAATCAATAGTATACACATTAAGAAAGAGAAATATAAGTAATAAAAATTTACATAGACAAAAGTGTTCAAATGATACATTTGAATTAGACGGGTGTACTACATAAATAAAATAATATGGTACACTCGGTTAACTGAATAACTTCTCGCCTTAAACTTAGGGTCCTTATGGTTCATGTGTTCAAACTAGTGATTCTTGCTTCAATATTGTGTGTGTTAGACTTCCCCCTACAAGAGCTCCGCTAGTTTACATAGAAGACTAGCCTACCGTATAGAAGAGATAGAGTCTATCCTTAATTGATTGAGTATGACACTCTTATAATTAGCAAGCGCTAATCTTTCTTTAATGAATGAATTGGCGCAATCACTCTTGTCGAAGCCTTCTTCTCCAAAGAGACTCACTCAAGAAATTGAAGCATATTGGCACGATGAGGGAATATGTGAAAGAATTTAGTTCCTTGATGCTTGATGTTGTGTGGGAAAATATGGGTGACATGTGGAACAGCGACAGCGTGACACGTGGCTCTACTTTTCCTCAAAAGGCGACAACCCTCAACGCTTGAAGCTCGCTTCCCCTCTACGCTGCAAAGGAGGCCTGACTAAGGGCATCGACCCGGCATACCGTCGACCAGTCATGCCGTCGATCTTATCGCAACAAAATTCCTATGTCTGGAAAGGGTCGACTACCAGGAAGGACATGCGGTCTACACAACGCAGATGACGAGGGGAATACTCTTCAGAAATGAGCCTAACATCATAAGTTGTGTCTAGGGATGGGAGATGTCTGCAGTACATGCATTAATTGCAAACCCCTAAACCGCCCTACAGTGAACAGTGAAGGATTACAGGAATCTACAGAGCCGTAATGAAAGACTAATTGGCTGAGTGAACAGTTTAAAAGGTGATTAGTGGGCTACGGTCTGGGCCTAGAAAGGTAGGCCACTCGAGTACTTCTACCTACAAAGGAGAACCGCACACAAAGGAACCTTGAGCTATAAAAGGGGCAAAGCCCCATACACGAGAAGGAGATTGGCTTCTTTAATATTCAATCAGAGGAAGAATAACGATACATGTAAATTGTAAGAGTCCAAAAAGAAATATAATACACAAGTGGATGTACCGCTTTATTAACAGAGTGAGCCATTATAAATTTCGTGTGTCCTCTCATTCAAGCATTATTCTCATGCTTCCAAAAATACAACAAACACTTCATAGCATAATTTCAAATATACAGTTAATTTCCAACCGATAACCCAACGGGATACCAGTGGGTAACCCGGTGTATTTCTGTTGACGAAATTTAGCCGTCAACAATTGGCGACTCCGTTGGGGACCGAACCCAGAATCTCTGGTTCATACGTTTGACCCCCAACAACAACATAGTCAGCAAACATGCCTCCAAGAAGAAGAATTGAGGCCATCAACCAAGGCAACCAGATGGATGAAACTGCCACACATCCGGTGAATGACGGGATGGAAGAAGACCCACCTCCGGTTAGGAATGAAGTCCCACCCCTAGACGTGCCGCAACCGGACCCTGTGCAGATGCAGGCCCAGCTTACTACTCTGACCGACCTGGTGCGGGGACTAATGATTGTCGTTGAGCGCTTGGATGGAAGAAACTCGATGCCGCCTCTAGAAGACGTCTTGAGACCACTAGGAGCTGCCGTGGTTGGAAACCAGAACCCCGGTGACCGCCAAGATGTCCCAGAAGGAATCGGGGACAGTGAAAATCTTAGAGGTGATCCCAGGCCTCGACTTTCCCACTCCTCCGGCAGTCGTCTAAGGGCCGCCGGACTCCGAGCTCATGAGAACTGAATAGCCAGAGGCCTGGGAAACCCTAAAGGGCCACCTCAGAACCCAGGTGGAAACCTTCTAGGAAATGCAGGGTCGGTGCAAGTGGGCAGACGAGCAAAGGGCGGATCCAACGCACAAAGGGCAGAAGCTTCGAGAGGAGCCGGCTTAGCAATATCAATGGAAGAGGCACAAGCCATTATAGAGCGTATGGCCAGCCTAGAGCAAAAGCTCACGGGCGATGTCGCCGGCCTAAAGAAAAATATAGGGCGAGTGGCCGAGGTGGTGAACGTCGACATCACGCCTAGACGGACGCACAACCACCCGTTTACCGCGGAAATTATGGCACCACCTCTCCCCGATAAGTACAGGTCACCGTCGATCCCACCGTATGACGGCAGAAGGGATCCCGACGATCACCTAGAAATGTACACAAGGCAAATGCTCTTGCATGGATATGCTGAGGACATCATGTGCCGAGCCTTCCAAAACCATCTAACGGACTCTGCCCGGAGATGGTTTCGAACGCTAAAACCAAACTCTATCTCAAGCTGGGATAAGTTGAAGGAAGCATTTTCCCTCCAGTTTGTAGGAGTGAAAAAATATGTCCCTCCAAAGCAGAATTTGACAACAATATACCAGAAGCCAAACGAGTCATTAAAAGAGTGGCTTGCATGGTATGGGGAAACTATCGCCGCGGTGACGGACATGACCGACAGGGAGGCCTTGATGGGGGCGTTATCTAGCATGAAGAAGATTACTCCTTTCAAAAGAGAGCTGAACCGGAAGCCCCCGTCCAGTTACAAAGAATTCCTTGCACGAGTGCAAGGGTACATCAACGCCGAGGAAGCTTATGCGAACGACCCTGAGCACAGGTCCAACAAGAACAAAGGGACTGAGCAAGGGTCGACTGCTGGAAAGCAGGATGGAAAGAAACGAAGAGGCGGTGGAAGCGGGGACAAGCAGCCTGCTTTGACACCGAACGCTCCAGAAGCCAAGAAGCCGAGGCAAGAGGAGAACCTCAAGCCTTGGCTATCTGAAAGGTATGATTCCTACCATGAATTAACAATAGGAGTCGAGGAAGTGATTAATCAGGTAGGTCGCGGGAACTTGTTGCGCCGCCCAGAGCCGATGAGGTCAGATCCCAGCCGAAGGAACTAGAAAAAATATTGCAGGTTCCACGGCGACGTCGACCACCACACCAATGATTGCGCCGATCTTAAAGATGAGATTGAAAGGGTAATCCGTGAGGGAAGGCTGTAGGAGTTCAAGGCCGAGTGGAGACCAAGAAACGATGGCCACGGCGGCCAAAATGATGGTCGACGCCGAGAGAAGAATTAGCGACCAGAGGACCGACAACCCGTCGGCGTCATACAAACCGTCCTCGGCGGTCCATATATTGGAGGAGACTCGAGGATATCTCAAAAAGACTACGCCCATGAAGCCAGAGGGGTTTACCAGGAAAGGTTCTTGAGTGTCTCCGCTGCGAAAGCAACAAGGTTCGGCAGCGCTGACGTGGCGTTTAATGAGGACGACACCAACAGGGTTCACTTCCCCCACAATGACGCCTTGGTGGTAGAAGCTCTAATTGGATATCACACTGTATGTTGAATCCTGGTGGACAATGGGAGCTCGGTAGACCTTCTATACTCTGACTGCCTGGAAAAGATGGGGATCCCAAAGGAACAATTAGAGAGAACCTCCAGGCCGTTGTACGGTTTCACTGGGGACTCCGTCATCCCTTAGGGGACAATCCGGTTGCCTATAACTGCAGGGGAGAAACCTCAACAAGCCACTATAATGGCTAATTTTGTGGTAATAAAGGGAGGCTCCTAATACAATGTCGTCATTGGGAGGCCGACCCATCAGGCACTGAGGGCAATAACTGATGTGAACATTAGGGATGCAAGAAATACTCATCAAAGTCGATTCAGAAGAGAGCCAACTAGTCTTACACATCCATTGAGCCATTCCGGAAGAGAGCCAATTAGTCTTACACGTTTATTGAGCCATTGAATGGCCAACTTGCATGTCAATCCAGGATACACGTGTAAGGGGGAATTTTAAGAAGTTAGGCGTGTTTTCCAGCCCGGGATAAAGTCAAATTGTGGATAAAGACTTGCCTTTATCATAATCCTATCTTTTTAGGTTTAAGTTTCAATTTAAACATTTATATTGCATAATATGCATTTTTAAGGAAGGAGTTAGATTCAAATTCGGATTCCTTCCCTAAGAAATTATCTTTAGGCGTTTAGAAGGAAAGAGTTGGAGTTTAATTCGTATTCCTTCCCTAGGATAAGCTTTAGGCTTGCGTTTATCTTATTTTTAGGTTTATCTTGTTTTAGGCTTCTATCTCATTAAGGATAGAATAGGACTTTTCAATTTTTAAACCTTTTCAGCTTATACCCGACTATTTAAGGTTGAAAAATGAAAATTAATAAAATGTTTTTGATGTTTATTCACTTTGTGAGATATTCTTCTTGAGTTCTTCAAAAACTATTCCGAACTTAGCAAGGCTTTCCTTGTGGCATTCAACGTGACTTATCAAACGGAATTTTCATACTCGTTTGTGGTGTCTTCACCATACCAAGGTTCTTGCTTCGCTAAGCAACGGGTCGCGATTTCCATCAATTCTTGAAGATCTTGGATCCTATCTCATATTTGGCTACGGGTTTCATCACATTGTTGGCGGGGTTCATATCAATAACCTCCATCTACCACCAGAAGGTCAAATTCCCTACCCCAAACGGTGTAGATGAAATAAAGAGCAACTAGTGCGAGGCTAGGGTTGCGTATTTTGAGGCCTTGCGCGGATATGGCTAGCCGGGGAGGCAGGAGGCCAGAATCGTCTGTCAAGGTGCCATTGAGGACATAGACCCCAGCATGGTCTCAACCCGTCAAGCAATTGGTGGAGATCCAAGTCGACGAGGACGAGCCAACCAGAGTGCTAAAAGTAGGTTCAGACTTAACCCCATCACTTAGGGTGGAAGTCAAGGGCTTCCTCAAGAAGAACTTGGATGTCTTCACCTGGAATCATGCTGATATGGAAGGGATCGACTCGGAAGCCATATGCCATTCTCTAAATATCGACCCCTCATATCCCCCCAGACACCAGAAGCGCCGACCAATGAACCCGGAGAGGTATGAGGCATTGAAAGAAGAGGTCGATAAATTAATCAACAATGGTTTCATTAGAGAGGCTCATTACCCATGATGGGTCTCGAACCCCGTTTTGGTGGTCAAGCCTAACGAAACATGGAGAACATGCGTCGACTTCAGTGACCTCAACAAAGCCTGCCCAAAAGATGGTTTCCCGCTCCCTCGAAAAGACCAAATGGTCGACGCCACAGCGGGGCATGAAATGCAGAGTTTTATGGATGCCTACACCGGATACAATCAAATCCCCATGCATCCGACCGATGAGGAGCACACATCCTTCATAACCGATAGGGGCCTCTACTGCTACAAGGTAATGCCACTTGGCTTGAAAAACGCAGGGGCTACATACCAAAGGCTCGTGAATAGATGTTTGCTCAACTACTCGGCAAATCAATGGAAGTTTACGTCGATGATATGCTTGTAAAGAGTGCCAGGGCCACCCAGCACGTCAACCATTTGGGGGAAATGTTTGGCGTGTTGAGAAGATACCACATGAAACTAAACCCCCTGAAGTGCGCCTTTGGAGTTGGATCAGAAAAATTCCTTGGTTTCATGGTCAGTAACCGGGGGATAGAGGCTAATCCCAAAAAGATAAAAGCCTTGCAGGATATGAGGTCTCCAACTAAACCAAAAGAGGTGCAAAGGTTGACAGGGTGTGTCGCCGCTCTGAACAGATTTATATCAAAGGCGACGGATAAGTGCGTTCCCTTCTTCGATGCTTTAAAAGGAAGTAAGCTTTTGAATGGACACCACAATGTGAAGAGGCATTTCAAAAATTAATAGAGCACCTAGGCAGGCCCCCGATCCTGTCAAAACCCATCCCCGACGAGGAGCTGAGCCTATACCTCTCCATGTCACAACACGCCGTGAGCTCTGTGCTAATAAGAGAGGAAGAAAGGGTCCAGCTGCCGGTCTACTATGTAAACAAAAGACTCCTCGACGCCGAGTCAAGATACACTGAAATGGAACAACTGGCCCTCGCCCTGATGGTAGCCTCAAGGAAGCTTCGACATTACTTTCAATTCCACACAATACGGGTTCTTACAAACCACCCGTTAAGACAGGCGTTACAAAAGCGCCCGAGACTTCTGGTCAACTTCTCAAATGGTCGGCGGAGTTAAGCCAGTTCGATATTAAGTATGTACCGAGAGTAGCAATCAAGGGGCAGGCACTGGCTGATTTCCTGGCTGAATTCTCTCATAGACCGACTCCCACCGCACGCGAAGAAGTCAAGATGACGAAGTGGAAGCTCTACGTGGATAGAGCATCGAGCGAAAATGGGTCAGGAGCTGTTGTCCTGTTGATCAACCCGGAAGGCCATAAGATTACTTCGGTGGCATGATTTAAATTCAAGGCGTCGAATAATGAAGCAAAGTACGAGGCGCTGATTGCAGGGCTGCGATTGGCAAATCACTTGAAAATCAATAGGCTTAGCATCTTCAGCGACTCTCAACTGGTCGTTGGACAAGTAAATGAGGAATACCAAGAGCGCGGCGAAAAAATGGGTGCGTACTTGAGAGAGGTAAAATAAGAACTCGTCAAGTTCAAAAGCTATGAAATACTTCAAATACCACGAGCTGAGAACACCAACGTCGACGCCCTGGCGAAGCTAGCATCTTCAAGGGATTCTGACATACTAGGAATCGTTCCTATCGAAGAACTTGAGCGGCCGACCATTGAGGAAAAAATTGCGGCCTTGACCATCCAGACGGACGAGAGTTGAATGACGCCGCTTATCCAATATCTAACGGATGCAAAGCTGCCGAATGATAAAGATGAGGCCAGACGAATCAAGTATAGAGCCACCAGGTACCTATTGTATGACGGTTTGCTTTACCGACGAGGCTATTCAACGCCTTTGCAGTGGTGCCTAAACGATAGCGAAGCCCAGGAGGTCCTCCGGAAAATCCATGAAGGAGTATGCGGTAATCATACTGGGGGCAGTCTTTAGCTCTTAAGGTTTTGAGGTAGGGGTACTATTGGCCCACGCTTAAAAAAGCCGCATTCCAATACGCTCGACACTGCGATTGTTGGATCACGTTGTGATTTTTAAGTGAAAAATCATTTAAACAACAACAAACTTGTAGGCGGAAATTTCAAAAATTTTCACGTATCATTTTAATTCTGAATTAAACACAAATCACAACGATAGATTCATGCATGATGTGTTTATGGAGAGAAGAATAGGATGACAATCATACCTTTAAGATGATTGGATCAAATATGGCCGCAAGGATCTTGTCTCACTATCTCACGTTCCGAGATGGAGAATTGCCGTGAAACAAGACCGTTGATTTATGAACATGACCACACCAACAACCACTCGTTGATTCAAGGCTATGACTCTTAATTTTTAGGAGAAGAGAGTGGGCTCTTTTTAAAAACCTAAGGAAACAAATTTTCCTTCTATTTTTCAATACCAAAATCCGGCCACACTAGAGGAGAGAGAGATATTTCTTTTTCTAGTCACCCTCCTAGGGTTTTCAATAATTTCTCTTTATAGGAAAATTCGAAACCTAACCCTAGGTGGGTTTTTCTGAATTTTTCCCTCAATTTTTGGAACAAAATCCGAACTCTCCCTTCCAAAGGGATTTTCGAATTTTTCAAAAATCAAATCAAATCTCTCCCTCCTTTAGTTGCCAAATAATATTATGTTCAAACTTTATTTATGAATTTTAAATTAATCATCATTAATTTTAAAATTCTAAATTCATTCCTTTTATTTTTCAATTATCAAATAAATGAAAAATAACATAATGAATTTATTTAAACATAATTGTGTAACAAAACATCAGTTATAATTTTTCCACTTATTAGAGCTAGCCTTGAGACCGAATGGACCCATATGAACAAAGCTATGGAATTATAATACTCGACTAATTTATCCCGATAAGTTATCGACGTATTTAATTCCAACATCGTACGACTCCACTAAAGGTTCGATGCCGACTAATCTCTCAATTCATATGCGCTATTTTTCTGATGGTGTTAATACAATTTAT